GTTTTCCCTCAATGACATTTACAATGCGCGATTTACCAAAAAAGCACTCAGCATAGTGGGTGATCCCACCCCTCATACACGGGACGAAGCCACCTGGGAGGAAGTATCGGAGCCTGCGGGGCCGGACCACTAGCCTACAAAACGGCTTCAACCACCAGGTGTCAGGAAGTTGAACTCTTTTCCCTCTTAGCCCTACCCTCAGATGCACTGAACTGGGGCCTCATTTATAAAACTGTGCGTAGGATCTGTAAAGCCCGGCTCAATTGGTCCAAATGCAGCATCCAATCAGCGGGAGAAGGTTGCTCTGCGTATTTCTTGCCTTTCCTTCACGCAACACAACAAGATTAAATACAATATATTTTCTTATATGTATTGACTCCTTTATTCATCTGACTCCCTAAAATGAATAGGTTTTAATGATATCCGTGCATCATTAAACGTTAGCGAATGTTTGATTATTCAATTCGACACTGATATTAGTTTATCCGTAATCCGGAAACAATATCGCTCTGCAGTACTTCCTCGAATCCCGTACGACACACTCCTGTCAGTTCCAAAAAACAATTCAGAGGTAATTTGACTTAATATCTGGGATCTGCCGTATTCACACGTACAATCAGAGATATCTTACAAGTCCCCCTTGAATGCCTCCTCTAGAACTTAAATCAATGTGTTACCTTGGTAGGGGTGAACTGACCACCATGAAAGAAAACAGTTAATCAACTCAACCCTTCTTAAAATGGCTTCAGGTCAAAACCCGTAGTCTGAGAACCACACATGTTTATCTAAAGTAATCATTACCCTTAAAACAGTGAATATGGGCACACCCAAAACTAGGTTGATTAAAACAGCGTTTGCTGATTCTAGTCGGAAATAGCTTGCCCCCTCATTCAAGTACACTTAAAATGGTATCGGATATTAGCCGTCGCTAATCTGACGCGAAAGATGTGGACCTATTCAAATCCAATGATCTAGGAAAAAACAGTCACTCAGATTAAAATCAAATGTTTACAATTTATTGAACAGGTAATGAAGCAATAATTCAAAATCCAATTCAAAGGATAAAAATCGTCAGTTAAGCATTTTATAACAATGATTTCGAAATCACAGAATTTGTAGAAATTATAACCTGTCAATAGAGTTAGACACAGCGATTGTGCGGGCAGTCAACCTACAGACTCCCCAAACCTTTCTGTTTCTGAAGCTTTCATTTATTACCAAATGGTGATGTCTGTCATTACAATTAGATTTTGGTTGTGTATTCAGGAGCTCACACCGTGAGGTCTGCCTGATTTCACATACAGGAGGTAGTCTGAATGAGGCTGTTAAGGGACACATCACTTTTCTCATGTTTCATAGCTTTTCATCATAGCTGGGAGAATGAGACCATTTTACCAGGTGCACTGTGACACTTTAAAAACACCAAACATGAATAGTTACATTTACACACATTACATTGCATAAGTTTTCAGTGTATTTCAGGTGAGGAGGAGAGGGGGGATGTGGGGGAGACGTGTGAACTGCTCTGTGTGCTGTGTCTCTGAAGTTCCTTACATATGCAAGAGGCAGTTACATTTGCCACATCGAGGGGTCGACCAGACATACTGGCACCAGCCTTACAGATACTTCGTAAAAGTGTATGTGGGCCCAAAAGTCAAAAATGTTGTATGCAAAAAAAGTATTCAGACTTATAAAACTGAAAAAAGAAATACTTGTTACAGATCATAAATGAGTATAGACTAACAGATAGATACTAGCTAGGCTTAAAGCTTCTTGCCCCTGACCACTGCTGGTGTCAGGTTGGTGGTTGCAAGGAAGAGCGGAGAACTTCTCTTTTTCTTCCTCCTATAGTCTTTTCTTGCAACTGGCTTTTGTTCCCTCCAAGCACACTAAAATTGTCTATAATAAGTAACATACTTGCATAAGACTGCTGTTGTGAAAAAGAACTGTTTCCAACATGCTAGCATGAGATCGCTGTTGTGGAAAGGGAGCTGTTTCCAACAATAGCCAGTGATTAAAAGAAATGAGGTCCCTCATGTATGTGATAATTGGCTCATTTAGCTGAGGAGGAAAGGCTCAAGACACAGTAATACATTTAAAGGTTCATAGCTTCCAATAGCTCAGACAGTTCCCTTAAACAATTTGCATTATGCGGCAGCACATGCTTTTTATTGTGCCCTTTTCGACCTCTGCTTTTGGATGAAGACAGAGGTTCTGCTGAAGTTTCAGAGAAAGCAAGGCCAATGGCATCCTCAGATGGACCTATTTCCACAATGCGCATCAAAAAGTCATGACGTCACGGTCACCGTCCTGCAAAGTAACGTCTTTAGCAACCGTGTGAAAGTGAAAGTGAATGGCACATAAGTCACAATACTGGGTATAGTACAGCAGATTATTAAAAAATAATCATTCACTTTGGTATAGAAGCTTGAAATTTGGTACAGATACTCTCTAAGGGCCAATATTTTGGAAAAAGGTGTTGGCCACACAAAAATTCAATATGGCGGCCAATTTTCAAGATGGCCGCCATTGCTATTAAATGCTTATTATATCAATCATCATTCAAACAGTGATCCAAGCATACTATTTGATACAAAAACTCTAAAGAACATGTTATTGGAAAAAGATGCTCCCTCAAATTCAAGATGGTCGCCATTTTTAAAGATGGCCACCGTTCCTGTTGAATATGAATTATTTCAATTGTTCAAATGGTGATGCAAGCATAAAATTATGCAGACATACTCTTCAAGGAACACTCTTTTGGAAAAAGGTATGTGTCACTCAAAAATCAAAATGGTCACCATCTTGAATTTTTGAGTGGCACACCTTTTTCCATGATAATGTTCATTGAAGAATATTTGCACCAAATTTCATGATAGCGTCACCATTTGAAAAAAAAAAAGATTTAAGGATTCAAGAAAAATGGTGGCCATCTTAAAATTTTAAGGGGACATGCATAGTTTTCAAATCTTTTTTTTGAGAGAGAGAAGAGAGTATTTTCACACAGTAGTTTGAACGATTGGCATAATCAGCATTTGACCGAAATAGTGGCCATCTTGAAAAAAATGGCCACCATGTTGAATTTTTGGGTGGCCTTTTTCACAAAAAGTGACCCTTAGAGTATCTGTGCCAAATGTTATGCTTCTATACCAATTTGAATGATTCTCTTGAAATATGCCATTAATCTGCTGCACTAGTATAAACATCTATTGGTACAAAATACACCAAAAGTATAAACGTGCGTCATTGTTTTCAAGATCCTCAATTTTCACAGTCCACGCTACAACATGAATATTTTTCAATTTATCCACTTGGGAAACTGAAGGCCAAAATGGAGCGAGAGAGATTTCGTAAAAAAAAAAAAAAAAAAAAAAGTGCAGACAAGGCCTAATTTGGGCCTGAAATTCCCTGGTTTTGTCCGTTGTGCTGCATTGCACTGACATACATATACTACAAACATATTTCTCTAATAAAAATGTTCTGTTGGCATCTGTGATATCTGTGCATCATTAATGAATCCTCGCCTCCCTAAGCTAAAAGCTCTATTAGTAAAGTCTAAAGTGCAATATTGGAGATGCTGTCCCTTGAGAGGGTGTCAATTACGCTTAATGCTTGCAGCATCTAAGGAGTGTTTTTACTCAGTCGCTTTATACTTGTTTTTGGAATATGCCATTTTATTAATCGACTCTTGTATGATCCAATCTTTCTGTTGTACGAGTAAATATCTCTGTAAATCATGCTTTATCTCCCGGATATCCTGCCGGATGTCTTTTAGTTGTGGCCTATGCTGTTGTCTTCTAGCGGTTTTCCTTTTCATTTTAGTCTTCGTCATTCTCATCTCCTGTTACAAACCTTTTGAATCTTGGGAGAAAACGGCGTGCAAATTACTGAACATGTACTGGAAAACATCTCACACAATCCAGTCTTATTCAAGTATGGTGATAATTTATTAAAAGGAAAAACAAGATTATTTACATGAATGTACAACTTCTATACAAAACATAACCAAGGAAAAGGTCCACAAAAGTAAGAGGTAAAGAGAAACGAACTAGACATAAACTCTCAAACATTAAAATGGTACAGTGGAATCATGCATCTCCGACAGAGCAAGTGAAAGTGGGATCTACCGTGCAAATCATCTCCACTTCCCACACAGGTGCGCTCTTTTTAGGCACATGGCGTGCCCTCATTGGTGAAGCCACATTGTATCATTACCAAGCATTTCTATGATTGACTGTGTGAATCAATCAGGAAGCCGCATCGTTCGACTGAGAGTGAAATTAAAGCGAGAAAAGGGGGAAGAAAAAGACAACCCCAAACAAATAATAACATAGGATGTGTTTTTGACATCCTCTCTTGTGCCGTCTCGTTAACTTTTTTTTTGGTTGGTTATAAACATTTAGTTCACAACTTTTGCTTATTTCATCCTCTTTATAAAGAAAGGAAGTCAAGTGCAATGTCATTCTATGAATTGCTGGTGCTTTTAAATCAAATGGCTTTCAAGAAGCATTTTTATGTAACTACCTTAAAACCAAGAAAAATAACTTCTTTGAAAGGGCTAAATGGCAATATAAGTGAACAAAACTATAGATTGAGTGCATTACTTTCCATTTTATGACTAAAAAAGGAATCAATCTGGTGTTTGGATGCTATCAGAAATGTGCCTCTCTGTTGCTTCTTGCGCTGAAATGGTTTTTATAATCGCTTGAATGTGTAAATTGGCATGAAAACTTGATACACTTTCGCTCTATGAGAGTTCAACTTTGCAACTAACCCATGAATCACACTACGATCTGATTAACCCTAAATACCAAACTATACACTTGCATTATGCATTAAGCAGATTAATTTATTCTAAACAACTTGCATTTCATTCAAGGTACATGTATATATTTTAAGTTCATGCAGTCCCTGAGGATTTCATTGTAAACTGTGCTGTTGGTAGTGGCATGTTGGACTATTTCATCTTGCATGAGAGGCTAATTCTCAATCTCTTACAGCGTTTGTGGGAAATGGAAAAGGCTCGACTCCTGAGTGTGTTGAAATTTAATCTGGACAAGGAGCTGGGAGAGGATGATCTATTTATCATCGAAGATGATCTTGCGAAGCCAGTGTCGCTGATCTCTCCTGCAGAATTCTACGAAAGTCTGCGCTACCCACTTTTTGAAGTTCTGAAGTATCCGTACCTGCTTTGCCACCGTGATCTGTGTAAGTTATGTTCCCATAACCAACCTCATTCTGTGTGGTGGTTAAAAATAAGTACTTCAAACTGGAGGGTTGCTGGTGTGATATTTTTTTGCAAACCAAGTTGTTCACAGTGTTTTGTCCTGGTTCAAAGCAGCGTTTTATTACTTATTATTTTTGATTTTTTTTTAGTAACTAATTCCACTGAGCATGAGCAATAGTTATTTTACTGTTCTGTTCCACCGAGTCCAAAATTTTCGTGTGCGTTTTTTCATGTTCGTGATTCGGTTGCTCTGAATTGTCAAAACACCATTCAAAATCTTTGCTATGGATGCGAAAAACGCAGAAAATCGACACCGATTCAATATGTATTTTTTTTTTAAATGACGTATGAAAGTTTAAGAGGCAGTGTGCAAGCGTGATTTACATAACATGATTTTTTATTTTTTATTTTTTTTACGTGTGGCAAATTTGTATGTGAATTTCGGTCTCCGTGTTCAAGGGCCTGCAAGCTAACCATGTGTTTTGATTTGTTATTTGTTAGTACAAGTTTAAATGTAAGTAAAGTATGGAGTAAATCCCTCAAGGGAAATTGTAGTGGTATACAGAACAAATTATCCACATAACACCTCATAAAATATTGTTTAATATGCTAGTCATTATTTTCAAAATAAACACTGAAAGGGTAATACAAACATCCAACGCAGGTAATCTCAAATGAAATGGTTATTTGATAATTATTGAACTTATTATTCACGTAATGGCGGGTACGGCCATTGTAACTTGATTGTATTGTGGCATCCGATTCCTGTCTCATCCGCTTCCAGTTATTTAAGCTGAACAACAACAGTTTATGCTGACTGATATTGCAAACTTTTACTCATCATATTTTATTATTGTAATCATAAAATGTTTTGGAGCACAAATTATTTGACCTTTTATTGCATTTTGTTAAATTCGTCCAATTATTTATTGTAGCAGCTAATGAACTGGAAGTGCCCACACAATCACAGAAAATAGCTTACTTTCACTTTGCTACGCAAGGTGAGTATATTTTAGTGCTCGTACTAAAATGTTTGCCACAATGGACTCTTTTCACATTTCTGGGGCTCTCAGAAGCAGATGTCATCATAGTTGGGTAAACCTGTGGTGAATGGACAATACAAAAAAAAAAAATGGGGATGTTTTTGCATCCCCATTTTCTCTTATAGCAAAAGTAAAAAGTGTGCAATATTGTTTCCATGACTTTCCAAAAGAGAAAAATATTGAGCTTGATTACAGTCTTCAGAAGAGAGAAAAATTTCAAATTTGCCGTCTCTCCCACAGGCACACAGCAGCGTTAACCAGTTATCTGTAATTTAATGACAAGGTGATATAACATTATAAATGTATATTCAATTTAAAATGAAAGTCTAAAAACTGCAAAATTTACAATTGGTAAAGTGCCCCATTATGCTTTTTATTTTTATAAAGGTTCCTAATTTTCTTTTTTAGGTCTCCTACGTAAGGTTTACATGCATCAAAGACAAAAAAAGCCACTTAATTTTAACAATATACATTGCACATATACTCAGAGTCTAAATTTTTGATTGAATGGTTTTCAGTCTATTTAAGCCCCTCCTTTCGGCTAGCCTACTCTGCTCTGATTGGTCTACTCTGCTCTGATTGGTCAGATGGCCCAGTCTGTTGTAATTGGTCTTCTGCTTACAATGCATGTTTCTCATTTCCTCAGGGCTTGATACACAGTGATGTGAACAGGAACTGTTTTTTCCTGTACCAATTACAGTGCAGTCCTCATCCTATTGTACTGCATGCTAATTAAATTTGCAGCCTTGAAAATAGCCCCGTCAATCACAAACCAAACTATTCTAGGCCTCGGCTACAACTAAAGTATTTGAGGGCGGGTAAAAGTAGAGTTTGCGGGCAGCCAATGAAGACCATAGGCTGGATGTTCATCAATTCTTTCTTTTAGGAAATGATAACGTTTGTGCTTTTTTTTTTTTTTTTTTTTAAACTTTGCAGACCTTTCAGATTCATAAAGTGCTATATTATGAACTGCATGAAATGTAATATTCAAAAAAGCATAATAGGGCACTTTAATAACTGGAAATGTCATCACAGCTTTTGAAAAGGGCCCATTGACCAATCAGAATCAAACGAAAAAGCCCGTCTGATCTGATGTGTAAGGATTGTTTGCCACTTTTTGACATTCTCTTCTTTGTCTACAGGTGATATGGTGGTAAAGGCCTTATGCAAGTTGCAGGATATGAATAAGTCCTTTACTGTGTTTGAAAAGCATCAAGGAACATATCTGCTTCTTGTTCATCCCAATGAACAGGTAATTCAGTCAAAAAGCCATGGAGGAGAATAGACTACTCTTCTACTTTGTGCATATTTTTGGTAGTTCTTGGAATTGCTCCGTTTATTTTCTTTGTTCTTACATTCTAGGTGCGGCGTTGGGCAATCGATGCTGCAAAAACTATGAAGAGTGTGGACCGGGACGCCTACTATGACCTTCAAGACATATTCTTTTGCATGTTTTATGTCATTGAGCTTGGAATATCTTTGGATGTTCCAGACTTGGATCCTGAGTCTTACGCAGGGGGCACTATACCAATGCTGCCGTCTCACCTCTATGATTCGCAAAATAAGAAGAATTACTGGCTAGGTCTGTTTGAGTTTTCTACAAAGCCTCTTTTCTTACTAGTCTTTCCTTCCTTTACTTGCTTCCTTCTGTTTGAGACATTTTGGTGTGTTACTCTAGCTACAGGTTTGTTACTCTGCTCTGTTCTGCAGTTAGTATAAAAACTGAATCTATAGAAGAAAAGGGTAGGGATAAAAAAAAAAAAAAAATGTCTACTGTGTACTTGCAGTAAAATAAGTGTGGCACCGTGTCCTAACCAGATGCATGTTTATGTGGTGTTGCACATGTCGTGGTGAGTGTAATATCACCTTTTTTAAGTCCTTCTGTTTTGTGCCCTATAGGCATCTGCATGTTGCTAACACAGCTTAGTGCTGAGGCAATGGACTCTCTGTTCATGGGACAGTTTAACATCCCGCTTTGCATACTCAACACCATGGATAAGCTGAAAAATGGTAGGCTATGTCATGAATTTGTGATTTTTATTTTCTTCTGTTTCAATGTGATGGGATACATTTGATGCAGCTGGTTATAAAATTGATTCACTTAAAGTTTTTATTTGTATTTTTTTTTTTATAGAGGATAACCCAGCTTCCGACCCATTCTGGCCAGCCCTCCACTGCTTTATGGTAATTCTGGACCGGCTTGGTTCTAAGATCTGGGGTCAGGTTGACCCTAGTATGGCTTTCCAGACCATCACTGGAGCAACCAGCTATGATATGGAAATAAGAAGCATCCAGCAAAAAACCATGGGGTAAGAAAGTCTGGTATTTATTGAAGTTCATTTATTGAATGATATACACTCCTTGCACTGCTTCTCATGGATCTACCATAATTGTGACTTAACAAAAGGCAATTGTTACTTTTTTACTAGATACTATTTTAAAAGCTAAATCACTGTAAAAAAAATTTTTTTTTAAGATGCAGTATAAAATGCAGGATTTATATCGAATGAAATTTACTTACTATGAAATAATTTACTAATTTGTAACTTCTATTTACAATTCTTCACCTGGCAAATTAAATATTTACATCATTGTCTAATTTGTTTTTGGAATGCATCTTTAAAATCAAATTTTTAGCAACTCCCCGTTACTATTGGTTGTCACTCCTTTAAAATTTAGGATTACAGAAATTTGGTCACGCCTCCCAAATTCATTAAAGGCTCATTTAATTTTCAATTTCAGTTGATATTCTTAATATGCTTTGAAAATAAAAAATGTATTTGCTGCAAAATGTGATAAATTAACAGGGAACATTAATAGATGCCATTAAAAACGGTACACTTTAATTTCTGCTTTAGTGCCCAATTTTTGACAAGACAAATCAATCTTTTAATTAACAGGACTATGTTTAAAGTAGAGCCTGAATATGATGACAACATGGTGACTTGCAGTCAGATGGTGTACGACTGTTATGCCTCAAAACCAAACCAAGTAAGATTTCTCTTTTATTCCTCTACTGCACCACAGGATTTTTACTTTATGTAACAAACATTTACTGCTCACTTGGTATTATCTGCTTTCAATGTTTGTTGTGGAAAAACGCATATTATTAATATTATTATCATTTTATTTTTTCCCCTGTTCATCATTTAGGCATCTGGTTCGTCATCCAACAGTGGCATTTGCAGCAACTATGTGATCTATGAGGATATGCAGTCTTTGGTCAAAGTGCTTGATTCTGAGATGGGCCAGAGCATGCGTGTATATGGAAGCACTTTTCTGTGGTTCATTCCATTTGTCCGTTCCATAATGGAACTTCCAGAGCTCAATGCCTCCTTTATCAGTGAAGTCATTCACTATCTTTGTGATAAGATTCTAGCTAATCGACATGTACTGACCGGACAGACAAACATGTGCGATAAAGTAACCGAGTTCTTCACCCGCATCCTCATTCAAATTGTTGAGCTACACTCCACGGAAGGACGTATGGGAATACTTACTCGCTGTGCCCCAAAGTGGGTTGAAGTGATTGTCATGTGCATTGTCCTATCGGATGAACCACATGGACCACCAGACAAGATGGGTGGGATTCACAGCGTCAGTTCAACCTCGTACAATCTGGGGATGGTAGGAAGACTGCCTGCGTCTGGAGGTGGCATTGGTGCCATAGTTCTAGGCTGCATGGCACTGATTCGACTGCTGCTGAAAGAAGGCATAAAGACGGGATCTGTCCCAAGTGCAAGCCATTTTTTGAATTTACTTAACAAGCAGCTGCGTGGAGCTACAAACAAACGATGGAATTTAAAACATTCTGAATCTATAGAGCTTCAAAAGTGTTTAAAATCTGTTGTCCGGTCGATGCAAGAAAAAACTGTCGCTCCAACCTCTGTGGTTCCATCACCATCTACATCATCGGTGGAGGCAACTACAAACACTGTAATTTCCAGAAAATCAATGCCAACCCTGCAACAACAACATGAGGAACAGGGTCCGAGCAGAGCCTGTGGCTCCTCATTTATTAAAGAGGAGCCACATTTGAATTATGGCGATTGCTTCTTGGATGAGGAGTTCTGCAGCGGTCTTGAGAACATCATAAAGGCTAAAAAGGAACCTCCTGCCCCCGTGTTCATTTCAGAGCTGAGACCTTCTGTTGAGTTGGAACATATTAAACCAGATCTGGATAAGCTGCAGGAAATTCGATCCAAATTAAATAACCAGAATTTGTTAAAGATTGAAGCCATTACCAAAAAGCCTGGTGAATCTTTAAAACCTGTTCATTTGGCATCGGCTAAGGAGAAACGTGGTTTTCAAGCTACTGAGGAGGATGATTCAGATGATGATGAACCCCTCAATGTTAGACGAGCCCAATTGAGAAAATCTGCTCAACACAAGGTTGAGTCCAGTGACTCTGAAGTTTACTGTAGGGATGTTGGAAAAACGCATACCATGTCCACTGGCAACTCAAAGAAAATCGTAGAGTCCAGTACCATTGTTATCTCTGATGATGAAGATTCTGATCATGCTGAAGGACTAAAAGACATCAGTTGGCCTGTTGAAAAGCAATGTGCCACGAAAAATAAATCTACAGGACATCCTGATTTGCCTGAGAGTCCAGGGCGTGATTATGATGATCTCAGTGAGTCACAAGTGTTTGAGTTTGAGACCCAGCAATATGTGGCATCTGCCTGGAATGATCCGGCTTTTGATGAATCAGTCTTGACTAAGAAATCGGACCAGACACTCAAACCACAGGTGGAAGAAGATCCTCATGAAGCATCTCCCTCACGGAGTTCAGACAATGGCATGATTCCAGATGAGGCATGTCGGCAAGCAGAAGATGAGACCAGACAACAGCCACAGTCACAAGAGCCAGCGGATCCAGGTGAATTGTCCAAAGCATCCAGTAATGCAGAAAGCTGGGATAAATTTGTCCAAACCAAACCAAAACCTCTGCAGGTTAAAAGCACAAAAACCATTCCATCTGAGAAGACAGACAAGTCCAAGCCTAAAAAGCCAGTGATAATTGATGCCCTTGCTCGAAAATTCAGACGCCACCACTTGAAACGCAACTTCATGTCTATGGACGTTGAAGAACCTTCCTCGACCTCATCAACTACTTCATCCTCGTCTGGTGTTCAGCCTTCCTCTCCATCCTCCAGCTCCGGTTCCTCTTCTTATTTTTCTGCTTCCACCTCACGGGGCACCCCTGCCATTGTTCCTCCAAAGAAGGTGCGTAAAGCTGTTGAGCCAGAATCAACAGCGGAGCGTTTAGGATTGAAAAAGAAGGAAAGAAAAGCCTTTGATCTTTCTCAGCGTTCACTAGATTGTGTGGCTAAACTGAGGTGCCATGGCCAGAAATTGCAGGTTGAACCACAACAGAAGACAAGGCGAGCGAGTCGGACCAGTAAGACCTCACCGCAGAAACGTATGGTGAAAGGCAACAAGAAACTTATGGGATCTCAAGATTTTCAGTTTTACAAGCAAAGTCGTGAGAAACAACAGAGGCCAGCAACAGGAGCTGTCACAACATTTGCTCAAAAACCAGCAAAGACAAATCAGCCAGGTGATGTACCCTTACCCAAACCTACAGTTACAAGCAATGAGAATGGTGATTTTGTTCCCTGGTTTCAACCAGATCCTGATCAGAAGCAGAATAATGAAAATACTACATCGGAATTCGGGGACTCTAAAGGGGATGGGATTGGAAGTAATAGGACAATAATAGAGTCCAAGTACTTTCAAGCCAGTGAGCCAGCTGATGTCAACATGGAAAAAGAAAAAGCCACCCAGGCACCCAAAGAGGACGTTGATGAAGAATGGATGTTTCTCACTCAGATGGGACCCACTGACATGGAACTGTGCTCTCAAATGGAGGAGCTTGAGGATGAAAATGAAGAACTCTTTCTGACCCAGAGAGATCCTGTCGACATGGACCTTGATTCAGAAAGTGAGTCAGATTTCCCCGAGCAGCCAGTGTCGGCGCATAAACCATTTCAGACTAATGCCCCTATTCCGAGCACCATCTGTAAGGAAAAAGTTGCTGATCATTTGTTCTTGAAGCCTGGCCTGCCACCAATGAAAAAGGCCAAACCTTCTACCACAAAAATATACAACCCCAGCTCCCGCAGTGCCTCGCTAGTCCTTGAAATGGAAAAAGGAGCTAAGCCGCCTCCTGCTGCTAATGTTGCTAAAGCGAAGATTTCCCGACTGCCCCCAGCTTTGCCACCTCCCAAAACATTACAGCCTGTGACTCTTCAACAATTCACAAAGCCATTTCCTTCACAACAAACTCCTCTGCCTCTGAGCCATGGTCCCAGGTTGGTCACTAGTACTAAAATAAGCTCTACTTTAGAGCCACCATCTTACAAGGTATACCAAAGGCCTGAGACTCCAGTTAACAGACCAGCACCCACGATGAATCAAAGCCCAAAGTTTGACCTTTCATTCTTGACCCGCGCTATCCTTAAATGGGAATATAGAATGCTTGAGAATTACAAAACTTTTGGGAGTCCAAGTGATCTATGCCAACTGCCTCTGAAGGAGGTGCCAGTTAAGTTCCAGAGCTACCTGGAGTACTTCAACAGCTTGTACCCCCTGCTGCTAATTAATGCATTTGAAGAGGTGGGACTACATCTTAATTTTGTAATGCCTAAGTCTTTAGATTTAATAGAGACAGCATTTTAAACCGCTCATTTTTTCTTGCTGTGCTACATAGTCCAAATCTTAGGCTTGGAATAGAATGCTGTGTCGGTGTTAATGATGTTAATCCTTTCCATTTTCAATAGATGGCTAGTGAATGGCTCAGAGAGGGCAGGGTCAAGCTTAACCTAAAGGTCCTGGGTATAGAATACAGTAATTCCACAGCTAGTGCCAGCTTCACAGGTACGTCCAGAATATCTTCTATTAGAATACACTTTAACTGAACATCAGAATAGGGCTGAACGATTATGGAAAATAATCTAATTACGATTTTATTTTTTTTCAATCAATATTGCGAATGCGATTTACTAAGTTGACAAAGACAAGCAATAAATCATTGTACAGTAGGGATTGGAATCTTTAGGTAGCTCATGATTTGAACTACTTCTATATATACATATATATATATATATATAACATTTAAAGGGATACTCCACTTTTTTTGGAAATAGGCTCATTGTACCACTTCCCCAGAGTTGAACAGTTGGGCTTTATCATTTTCGAATCCATTCAGTCGATTTTCGGATATTTAGAAGAATATCAGTACCCAGACAGTTTCTGGTCTCATTGACTTCCATAGTATATATATTTTTTCCTACTATGGAAGTCAATGAGACCAGAAACTGTCTGTTTACTGATATGCTTCTAAATATCTGATAATCGGCTGAATGGATTCGAAAATGGTAAAAACCCAACTGTTTAACTCTGGGGGAATGGTAAAATGAGCCTATTTCCAAAAAAAGTGGAGTATCCCTTTAATTAAACCAATTACATGTTAAGAATTTTAAATAGGCAATATAAACTAATATAGCTTTAAAAAATAAAAGCTAGTAAATAGAGGAACCAAAAAAAAAGCATTACAAGCAATAAACAGAGTGCTTTCATTATTTAAAAGTAGGCTGTCTAAATGTTTTTCATTCAAGACCTGAATTGTTTGAGAGAGAATAACACAATATCACATACATTAAAAATAAACTGTTCTTTCCTGTATGCCAGACCTATATACCAAGTTGATGCTTGATCTTGCAGACTGATTTTCTCTCACATGTCCATGTGACCAGTGTAATTGCAGCTTTTGCGGTTACAAAATCGCGTTTCATCATATCGCGATATTATCGCAAATGCAATTAATCGTTCAGCCCTACATCAGAAGTACAATTATTATTAGTTGGCAAAGAGTATGCTTTCCTGTTGCTCAAAGGTTATGGGTTTGATTCCCAGGGAAAGCAAAACTGATAAGATTGTAAAAATTTGTACCTTGAAATGCATTATAAGTCGCTTTGGATAAAAGCGTCTGCCAAATGCATAAATGTATACTTTCAGCCTTTTCCTAAAGTTGTGCATATGTTTGTAGTGGGCATTTCTCAGGAAAGTGACATGAAGCAACTGTACCCAAAAGAAGATGACCTTGTCCTGCTTTGGCTGCCGAACAACAGACAAGCGTATGCCCACGATGAACCAAATTTCCATGAACCACATCCTCATTTTGGTTGTGTGTCCCGTTCCATTGTTTCCAAAAATCCAGGTGTGGGACTTGTACACAATCCTTAATAATATAGAACATTTATGTGCACTGTCTCATTGCTCTGTCTTTCCTCAGGTTCCATGTCAACCCTAAGCTTGACAATTCAGACCCTTGGTAATGTGTCTTCGGTGAATGCCCAACCTGTGCTTTGTGAAGTTATTGGATCTTTGGTCAGCATATTCCGGGAGTTTCGTGCACTATGTTTGCTGCAAAATGGACCGATGTTGCGTCCTGTTCTTGCTCCACATGTGTCTTATTTCACACACACTCTGAACAGCCCACCGGACCTGGACACATCAGTGAGTTTGGGTTTATCTGAAGCAGTGATGGTTCCTAATCTTGATCCCAGGACTTGCAGCATTGCACATTTTGTATGTCTCCTTTATTTAATACACCTAATTCAATAATCACTTTAGTTGAGATCTCCATGAACCGAACTGGGTGTGTCAGATAAAGCGGACCAATAGTTATAAGCAATTTTCATACTACTTTACTATGTATTGGGCCAAAAAACTATTCTTGAGCTTTAGTACCTTAGAGTGATGCATGTTCAAGTCCAATAGTTGGTTGATTGTGCTTTAACATTCATTATTATGTGCTCTCTTTGTATTACAGGAGTACAACAGGGACCAGGCAAGAGCGATATCCTGTGGAGTTGCCATGATCGAAAGAACGCAGTCCTGTGGTCTTGCCACGATGGAGAGAACGCCGAAGACCCCAAAATTTCTCCTTATTCATGGTCCTCCAGGAACTGGAAAGAGTAAAACCATTGGTGGCTTGTTGTACAAACTACTGTCTTCGGTATGTATCTTTTACACCTTAATCATACTGAAACTTTCAAAGTGCATATTTACTGAGTTTGTTTTTTTGCGTTTGTGGTCATCTGGTTAGGGTATTAACAGTGTTGCTTCTGTGGGGAACCTTCACGCCAAGACTCGACGGACACGTGTTCTACTCTGTGCACCCTCTAACGCTGCCATCGATAGTCTGATGAAGAAAGTCATTGTGATCTTTAAAGAAAAATGCAGAAACATCAACGCTCCTCAAGGTTTCCAAGCTTGCACATACATTGACTGCTGAAAAAAGCATGCATGCCTTATACTGTCACACTAAAGCATATGACACAACACTTTTTGTGTGCAGGCAACTGTGGTGACATAAACCTGGTAAGATTGGGAAATGAAAGAACCATCTCGAAATCGCTAAAACCTTACAGCCTCGACCACCAGACTAAAGCTAGAGCACGTGAGAGACAAATTTATGCATTATTATGCACCACCTGCATATGCATAAACTCTTGAATTATAATTTTATAAGCTGTGTGTGTTTCTGTGTGTAGAGCGAGCCCAGCAAACTACAGGTGCTGACGTACAAACGCAGAAGGAGCATCTGGACCGGGCTATTGACAATCTCTCCCAGCGATGTGCAAAGACGCCAAAGGATTCAATTGATGTAATGAATTCTTCATTTTCTAAAAGACAGAATATCGACTATGTTCTGAATGAAATGATGGCATACTGATTCATGCTCTTTTATTTTAATGCCGTCTTAAATTTCTGTGGATGACAGTACAAGAATATGATGGAGAGGAAGAGGCAGCTTCTGAAAGAGAGAGAAGGATTGAGTCGGCAGATTAAAGAGGTAAATAGTCATGATATTTAACATGTTTCACAGTACTTATTCTCAATATTACGACAAGCAAATATGTCTCTTGTATTTTTCTTAGAGTCGCAGTAGGAGACAAGAGAGTCAAGCATTTGTGCTGCAGAATGCTAATGTGATCTGCTGCACGCTCAGCACCAGCGGAAGTATTGTCCTCGAGAATGCCTTCCGTCGACTCGGACATGAACCATTTAACTGCGTCATCATCGATGAGGTGCTAAAATCTTTTAAAGTTTGTCGTGCCTTTTTTTAAATGTTTTTGTTGTGTGTTTTTTTTTTCCATTGTTCGTTTTATTTGGTTCAAATACTTAAGTAATATGATTCTAAATGGAGGGAATGACGTCAGTGGCAAAAGATCTGCTGCGTGACTGGATTTAATTCATAATTAATTAATTTTAATTTCGAAAATGCAGCTAAAATGAACAATTTGATCAATTTAAACTAAATGTTGGACTCAATATAGTGTTCCGACCGTACAACTTACTAAAGATCCAGTGATCCATGGATATTGACATGCAGACAGGAGTCGTGTTGCCTGATATTTATGTTTGCCTGATTTCGACACCGGGGAAATAAAAGCAATATAGACCTAAACATAAAGCAAATTTGCCTGTGAACGCTTTATATAAATACAATATAGGTCTAAATCTGGGTGATCACTTAAATCAGCATTATATATATATAGCCTAAATATATCATCATATCGTCCAGCCCTAAAATTTTATAGTTGTTTTTTTTGGTCAGTGTTTATTAAAAAACATCCAGTAATGCAGAATATACAATGATAAATATTTAATTGAGTTGTGAATAAATATAACAATACTAAATATATGGGTATGGTTTTACACCTTAATTCAGCATATTGACACAAAATGATAACTGCAAATCCACCTTTCGCTGACTGGAGTCCAGTTGTTTCTGTGAATTGCAGCGGTCCATTTGCTCCTCTTTCTATAGCAGTCTGTAAAAATATACCTCCAATTTATTTATTTATTTATTTATTTTTTTGGGTCAAATCTAGTTGTTCAGTAAATCGCAAAGCTCTTTCCCACTTTATACGTGTTGTTTGTTTTTCGTGGCATTCGCGCTGAAAACAAATACAGCCGCTCAGTCTTTTTGCCACTCACTGTGAGTAACTGCAGGCACTCCAGCCGACGGTGACGTCACGCGCATTCCCTCTACTCGTCTATTGACGTCTCCAATGAGTGAATCTCTTACCGTTAGTACAACAAAACAATCAAGACTTTATCGTTTTTAATATCATACATTTTTATTTGACTTTTGTCATGGTGCATATTTATCATTGTTAATTTACTGAATATAAGGTTTATATCATTATACACATACTAATGCTCCTAATCAATACATTTCTTTGCCACTTTGTTTGTCTTTGCACATTTGTAGGCTAGTCAGGCTAAAGAAACTGAGACGCTGATTCCCATGCTTTACAGATGTCCTTCCATAATCCTCGTCGGTGATCCCAACCAGCTTCCACCAACCGTTGTCTCGCTGGTAACCCACCATTTTAGCTGCATAGCATTTGTATTACCAGCATACAAATTTAAGCTTTGCTTTGTTCTAAATTATGGCAATTAAAATAAAGTTGTTCTGTAGATTTAATTTACTGCCATTTATAATTATTTTGTGTAAGATATAAAAACGTATTTGTTTGTGTGTGTTTGAACAGAAAGCCAAGGAGTTTGGCTATGATCAGTCTCTTATGGCACGGTTATGCAAAAATCTTCATCCATCAAACCCGCAACATTCTCCCATCCTCCTCCTCAGCGTGCAGTACCGCATGCACCCTGAGATCTGTGAATTCCCCTCCAAATACATCTACAACAGTGCTCTTAAGAATGAGTGGTATGCACAACTCTTTGTTTGGAAAATTTACACTAGGCATTTGTAGGGAGGGAGAGAGATAAGAATGCGCTGAAAACAGACTCCTCACCATGTTTATGATGTGTAGGAAGGGGCAGTGCAGGCAGTATTATCAGGAGCAGTGGATTATGACTGAGTCTGAGTTTAAACTCTTAAGGTCATTGAGAGGACCGTGCTCGTGGTGAGTGCTCAACACAATATGCTGCAAACTAAACCGGGACCCTGCAGACCTTAAGAAACGTGATCCAGCGACATGGACGTTGCCATCCTATTTGGGTGTGACTCCCACTTTTCTGTGAGGGCCTATTCATACTGAGAAAAATACAATGAAGCAAGCAAAATAAGCCACAGATAAAAGGTGTATTCACAAAGAGCGACCTGAAAACAGACTCCAGTTATTCTCCTGCTTCATCAAAGATGAAGTGTTCTGCTCAAAATATAGAAACCAATCCTGTCGACTTGCTCTCTTTTGTGGACTCTCAGCGTGTCTCACTTATTTGCCACAGATTCCATATCGGTTTGAACTGTGATGTTGTGACAACCGAAATTAGAAGTAGTTGTTTTAAGATTATTTAGTTTAACTGTCAATAATAGAGTTGTACTTTTTTTAATTTTTCAAACATTGTATTTTAAAAATGCAAAAAAATGTAACAATATGAATTATTAACAATTTAGTTGTGCCAAAAAACTCTTAAAGGGATAGTTCACCCAAAAATGAAAATTCTTTTATAATTTACTCACCCTCTTGTTGTTCCAAACCTCTATGTGTTTATTTGTTCTGTTATACACAAAGGAAGATATTTGGAAGATTGTTTTAATCAAACAGATCTCAATCCCCATTGACTAACATAGTAGGAAATACATACTATGGTAGTCAATGGGGAATGAGATCTGTTTGATTAAAACATTCTTCCAAATATCTTCCTTTGTGTTCAGCAGAACAAATAAACACATAGAGGTTTGGAACAACATGAGGGTGAGTAAATGATAAAAGAATTTTCATTTTTGGGTGAACTATCTATTATTAAATAAATCCCAAGCTGCAATTTAATTTTTTTTTTCCAGAAATATTTTTGGCCTGTAATCTTTCACTGTTCATCTGCATTGAGATGTGGCAAAAAGTAAAATTTGCACAAGTAGAAATATGGGCTTCTGATTTACGTACTTATGTCCCACAGTGAGACTGCCAAGAAACGCTGTTCCTTCAACTGGCCCTTCAAGCCCTACAAAGTGTTTGACGTGACAGATGGGAGAGAGATGAAGGAGAGAGAGTAAGAAATGGAGGATTGTGGGTGGGACTTTACTGCCTCTTGTGTCTCTGTCTGAACACTTAACTTACTGTGTTTCTCCATTGGTCAGTTCATTTGTTAACCCCAAAGAGGTCGGTTTGGTCTTGCTGCTGTTGAAGCTGCTGGGCGAGAAGCAGTCAGTGCGAGTGGGTGTCATAACGCCCTACAACGCACAGAAACAACGGATACTGGAAGCCGTTAGGAGATCAGGCATCAACAAACAACTTCAGTGAGTGCAAATTTTCATAGTCTTTCATCAAAGTGTAATAATTTAACTACAGCGTGCCACAAATAATTAGTCTTTGATTTTTGCACAAAAACACCCTTGAAAATATATATACTTCAATTTTAATGTAATTGTATTATAACATGTGTAACTTGTCATTTAGGGTGGAAGTAGATACTGTCGATGGCTTTCAGGGCAGAGAAATGGACTGCGTCATTGTGTCTTGTGTGAGAGCCAGCAGTGAAATGGGTTCCATCGGGTGAGTGTGTGCAATATCGTTGTGACCTACAGAAATATTCATGTTGCAATGTTTGAACCAGAAACATTTCTTTCTTAAGGTTTGTTGGAAATCGGCAGAGGATGAATGTTACCATTACCAGAGCCAAATTTAGTCTCTTCATACTGGGACATCTACGCACACTCAGGGTACTGTACAGATTTATACACTGGCTTGTCTTGACCCACCAGAAGAGGTGCTGTTAATGACGTTTTAATGAAATCAACACATTTCTGCAGGAACAAAGGGACTGGGGAGAGTTGATTGAGGACGCTGGGAGACGGGAAGTTATAATCAAAACCATGCAAAGAGGTTTTGAAAGTGATGTCAAGAAGATTCTTAAACGTGATCCGCCGACTCGCAGTCTCTCTCATCCCCCTGCTATGCAATCAAGCACTGTGACCTCACCTGTTTCACCTGTTCAGGCTCCGATGGAAATAGAGCCTGCGCCACGATCCAGCCGTGACATGAGCAGCGTTCAGCCACAGCAGGCTATGCCACGTCTAATACCTTTGGAGTGCCTTAAAGACCCACGGATAAATGAAAGGCCCACAGACCCACGCTTTCCAGAGCGGCAGCCAATCAGAGATCCGGGACAGGAGAGGCGGGGCTTACCAGCGCCACACCTCCAAACACACAGAGTTTATTCAAATGACGCTGACTCTCAAAGTACCGGCCAATCTTCCAGACACTCTTCAAAACATCGCGGTTCCTCACCGCCTAGACGATACCGGAGATAAATTCATTGTCCGTGTTTTTATTTTTCATTAAAGCTCAACCGCAATCCATTGAGAGAGATGTTTTTTCCTCATGTCCTCTTCTCCATGTTTGAAAGCTCACAAAGTGTCTGTGTTAACTCTTTCTCAGGCATAGGGAATTCACTCGATGGCAGTGCTTGTCTAATCTTGGACTCCTCCTAATCATCCTTTGCTGCTAAACACATTGAATATAGCTATTTTATTCATGAAGAGGGATGTTTTTTTTTTTTTGGGCCTTGAGTGTGCCTTCAAAAAAAAATATGAATGCAATAATTGGACTTTCTTAATATGTTAGACATGCTCAAAAATAACCAATTTTGGTGTATCATACTGTATAGTTTGTCACTTATTTAAAAGTAGTTTTGATTTAAGGTTTGTTGCATGGATGGATTTGCTGTGGAAGTGTGTTGAATGCAGTGCCATTTGTTTCTCAAATTTGGTTGTTTTATACTGGCTTTTAACATACTGCATGTGGTGAGTAGGTTTTTCGGTTAAACCTGGATTATATTTGATTGAGCCAACTGTTAGAATAGATTGTACAGGTAATTTTGGTAACAACAGTAATTATTTAGGAGGAGTTAAAGAAGGCCAAGAACCAAACCAGGGGAAGTCTTCCTTTACATTTTAATTTCAAATGTAAAATGACATGTTTTTGAATTGTAAATTAAGTTTGAAATTGTATAGTTGAAGTATGCTAGCCAGATAACTGGAGACTGAGCGATTGGCCTGCTACTGTGGTGTTTTTCTTGAGTTTTACCTTTTGTGTGACCAGTTTTACAAAAGTGTACGAAGAGGTCTTTTTTTTGTACGGATGCACTTTTTGTAGACAGGAAATTAAAACAAGTTCTTTTTGTTTTTTTGTATTTTTTGGACATTTTTATTGTATTATTACGTGGTATTAAATGACAATCACTGCGCCAATTGAATTCTGAATCACTGCAACTATTCTTGATAAACTGCTTGTTCATGATGGGAATGAACTGCTTAATCATATCAAGGTAGGCTATCGTCTATTTTCCCCCTGGGAATCCATATCAAATTACATTCATAACTGGGCTTAGTAGACTTAGTGTGTCCTAGCTTTATGCAGTTATTAATGTAGTTATTAGAGAGAGAGAGATGTTGAAATGATGAGACAGAAAAGCATGTTCTTCATTATTATTTATTTATTAAATTCGTTTTAATTCGTTCATTGTTTTCTCTATTTGACAGTAGAAAACACAATAAATGAAACACACAAAATCTTTTTAACAACAAGTAGGCCTATCAATAATTATAATATTTACTTATCAATTTTTGAAGGCTATATTATCTGGAATAATTACGAAAATCCGTGCAGTTGCACTACAGTTTATTTATATAGCCTATTCAGTTTAATTTTCTATTTAGCCTATTATAACTGATATGGTACAAATTTCCTTTTATGTCTACGACGTGCCATTCAGATTTTTTGCCTGACTCTTATGAATGAGCAGAGCAGTTTCTTAAGGGCAGGACAGCTGCGCCCTGGGCTGTGGACAGGAGGACAGTCCCTTCACCAGGTCTGGGGTCGGGGTGCGTTTCAGCACCGTTCGCCAACTATGGTCGCAAGTTCCGTCGTTATCAGCATAGTTCATCGAGTCGGTGTTTCCCGAAACCATCGTTCCAACGAACATTCGCAAACAGCATCGTAAAGTTGTGTGGTTTGAACGAGCTCTCGACCTGTGGTTAGAAGCATCGTTTCTATATTGCATGACATTTAGACGTTATAACGTTAAATCCTTATCTTGAGCAAAATAAGCAAGCTGACATTCAGTACAACCGGTGCCTTTTATTCAAAATACATACTTGTAATGTACAACTTCTAGTAGTTTGTCAAAAGATTTTAAGTACCGTGTTTGAAGAGTGCGCATGTGCGAACGTGCTCTACTAAGAACGAGCCAAATATTGAGTCTGGTAATAAAGCAAAATAACTGAGAACAATTTGAAATAGTCCTCAGATGACATGGCTGTAATTTATATTAACAATCTAGCGTTGATTGGATCTCAAACAGTTTCATTTTTAAGTAGTTATTGCTCCACCACATGCGAAACCAACGGCTTGCTATATATAGTCATAATTGTCTTGAACTGAAATTTGATTAGAGATATCTGAAATTTGAGATATCTGTAACTTTCCTTTTGCCTAGTCAAAATGTCATTGCATTGCAGATATCTTGAATTGGAGTTTTGACTAGGCGAAATGACGTTGCAGTCAGCAGGCCCGCATCACACTAGTCCAGCGTGTTGTTGCTAACTTGCTTAATCAAATCACATAGCACCTGTTGACCGTTAACTTGTAATTAGCAGCACTGATTAGCACCATGTCGGAGCAGCCAGAGGGTCAAGGGGTTTTCAATCGTCTTTTGCAGCAGCCCGTGCAAGACAGGAGCTGGCACTGGCAGCGAGAAATGATGATTCATTTTCCACAACAAGACGACTATTTCGCCGGCGAGTTAATCGAGTTCGGGGTAAGTTTTATTTTTTAACATCAGAATGGCTAATGTGCTATCAGAAGTTCGGGGTTTTAATACTATGCAAACTTAAAGCAAAACCGTTGCTAAAATGGATTCTACGGTCTTCTTTGTGAATGTTTCGAGTCAATCGTTCGTTTAAAATGATATTATGGGCTCTATGCACGGCGGTGAAGGTGTAAGGATGCACGATAACTTCCGCCGATCGTAGAGTCCAATGCAATACCGAGAATTTATATTGAATTTTATACTCCATGGTTATATTAATGAAACGTTAGTCACAAAAACAGATAAAACAGACCCCTCGTTGTGTTTGCTTCTTTTTAAAATTACATTAAATAAACATAACTATATATAAAATGACATCTAAACGTACGTTTCGTTTCAAAGACTGGAGGACAGTAAATTTCGAAGACTCTGGCACAATCCTGTTTTCCTTGGTTTTCCTCCGCTTTAATCTCCACAACCGGAAATGGACGAGCATCCTTGCGTCAAATGCGGAGTTTATGCGTGCATATAGCCCATTGACAATAAACGGCACCTTTAAGATTGACGGTTGTTTAGTTTTATGGTCTAAATGGCTTTTTGAATGGGTTAGCTAGGGGCACTACTAGCAGCCAGAACTACTGCAAATGCATCCAAATAGCAATATTCAAAATATGGTAATGAATACAATTTGTGTCTGCTGAAAACATGGAAACATTTTAGCCAAGAATTAATCCTTCCTTCCTTCCTTCCTTCATTCCGCACTTCCTTCCTTCCTTCCTTCCTTCCGCACTTCCGCACATTTAAAAACAACCCATGGTGGTTCACCAAAGTGCTGAACAGGACAGAGTAATCAGAGCACAGGTAATACAACATAATAAAAATAGCATGAGCTATAAATAATGTTACGAACATAAAGAGAATAGTAGAATTAATATAATTCATAAGAGAGTACATTAAGGATCCACATTAAGAAAATGTTTTTTGAGCTTGTATTTAAAGGTGGCAAGTGACGTGACTGTTCTAATATAGAGTGGTAGGCTATTACACAATTTGGGGCCTGCAATTGCAAAGGCACGGTCACCTCGACGTTTCAGTCTTGATCTATGCACTGCGAGCAATTACTACTCACACCGGTATTTGTGTTTACAAGAGGATCTGGTGGCCGCAGGGAAAACCCCATTTGGCAAGCAACTTTTACTCCTTCCAGGGCCAGATAATGGTTTTCTGCCCCCCACAATAGAACTTGAGGGACTGGCTAAACATGGATAAGGTAAATGTGAGATTGAAGCACATAAGAATTGAGTGTTATTTACTTTACATCTTATTATCTAACCTTCTTGCAAAGAAAGCTATGGAATGAGCTGCTTTGAATTTTGTGTTCACTTGAGCCTGTTTGGTTTCATTTGTTATACCGTCTCTATATTAGGAAACATTTGATTAAAACAATATTTTAATAATGACTGATAAAATACATTTAGCATTTGTTTCAAAGAAATGTTGTAGAGTAATTTACTCTTTGATGCATACATAAGTTTCCATGTAGCAATTTTAATAGTTACATACTGCAACCCTTTCTCAATCATGTCAAGGCATCACTTTGAGAGTGTCCAGGAATACCTCCCTTTTGCATCAGCTATCTGTATCTTATTTAATTTAATTTGGAGGAATAGATCCCATTATTTACGTAAAGATATTTTACGTAATCTAAGGAAAGATGGTGGTCTTGAAGTGTTGACCTTTGAAACCTTAAGTAATTCATTTTTGGTTTGATGGTTAAATAATTTAATTAAGGAAGCAGGGACCATTTGGAACACCTTCCCCAAATACATTTTTGATTCACTGGGAGGATTAAACTTCTTGTTGAAATTTGATTTTAAAGTTGAGAAGTTACCTGTGAAGTTAGCCAACTTTCACAAGCATGCCCTGTTAGCCTGGAAAATGGTCTACGAACATAATTTTTCTTCCATGAACTGTTATATTTGGAACAACAGGAATATTCAATATAAAAGTAAATCTATATATTTCCAAAGAAGGGTTGATGACAATATTCTATTAGTTGAACAACTCATGAACACAGAAGGATAGTTACTAAAATACGACGAGTTTCTTTCAAAAGCAAGATTTCCTGTCTCCCATAGGGAATATGCTATCGTTTTTGATGCTGTGCCAAGATATATTATTCAGATTTTAAAATATAACTCAACTGGTGTAAGTGGCAGTAATTTGACTACACAGGAAATTTTCCTTGGCGACATTGACATCACTACCAAAAAATGTCCAAACAAATACATTAGGAATCTAATGCACACTAAAACACTTCCTGCAGCACGATCCTTTTGGGCTTCTCGGTTTGAAGACATCAAATGGGAAAGAATGTGGTTAATTGAATAATAAAATAAAGGAGGTGTCCTAAAGTTGTACATAGAATATACCCAGCGAAGAAAACGTTAGAGAGATTTAAATTTGATATTGAATATTCCTGTACCTTTTGTGGTAATTATGACGAAACAATTTGTCATCTGTTTTATGATAGTACATACAGTAAGATATTTTGGAGAGATGTTGAAAACTATATAAGATGTAAAACTGGAAAAGCTTTAACATTGAGGAGAAAAGATGTGTTTATTTACTTTGAAGATGGTGGAACAGATAAGGATTTTTCTTTTTTTTTTGTCCAATTGTTTTTAGTCTTGGGAAAATTCCATATCCATAAGAAGAAATGGGCAGAGTCCAAACCAAGTTTTGAACACCTTTTAGCAGAGCTAAAACAATATCACACCACAGTAAGAGGTCTTAAAAATAGAAAGGCTATTAAAACTGATCTTCTAAATATGTTTAATTAGCATCCTATTATGTAATTTGGTCTTGTTTTTTTTGTTGATTTTTATTTTATGTTCATTGTTTGTCTTGTATGTCTGTTTAGTAGTGTATTTTGTGCATCAACCCTGGCATAAACGGATGTTGTTGTAGTATATTGTTAATAGTGAATAAAGCAAAAAAAAAAAAAAGAAATTATATATAGACTATATGATAAATGATGGAAGCTTCCGTTGACCTACCCGTCCCATGTATATAAAGATAATAAAGTCTTCGTTTACGAGGATAAGTCAGATAATTGGCAGAGGCATTTGTACACCATTGAGGACATATTTATGAATAAAAATATTGATTTTAAGTAATAAATTACATAAAAAGTTACACAGTCCCTAGTCATGATTCAAAAACGGTTGATTTGGCACATAATGGTTAACTGTTACCCCCCTTTTTGAGAATGGACATTACAATGCACTATTAAAACTTGGTTGTAATTCAAGAATGCTTTGGAATAGAGACCTAAGTTTAGTCTTGTTTTAAAGAAAACACTCAGCAAACACTTGCTGAAGTAAAAGTACTTCAAAAAATAAAAGTATGAAAAAGTTATGGAAGTTTTAAATTTGCATTAAATCAAATATACTGTACTAAATATTATTTCTTTTATATAAAATGTATATTTTACAAAATAGGTTTTGTTTAGGCTTAATATCCAAAAATGACATCAATTCCATTGAATTTAATTGTATGCATTCTGCTGTAACAAATTCATTTCTGTCCAAATATCACTTCTGTTACAAAATATGGAAGCTTGAGACTCAGACCTTCCTGACAATGTATTTTGTCAAGACTAGAAAAGGTTTTGATCATAAATTATGATAGGCAATGAAAAAGTAGCCTATGTGTATGAATTCCAGCATCATTTATTAGCATTAAGTGACATCTCAACCATTTGGTAGAGGCCGATATTTTAAAAATTATGGGATGTGTTGGAAAAAAAAATACATTGAGTGTGGTTGCTAGCGACATAAAAAGATAAGCAATGCAAACAAAAACTTTTTCTTGGTGCGGACTTCAAAGGGTTAAGACTAATTATTTTGTGAAAAATTACAATTGTTATCGAGTCTGTTAGTGTCATGTTTCTCCTTGTTTTTGTAGGCAGCTTATATTTTACATTTTCATAATATTTCTTACCTGCGTAGATTTGAACCCTGTGGAACAACAAAGGAGGCAACCTCAGGAGAGAATCCCTTTCTAAATGGAAGGTAACACCACCCGTACAGTGTCTCTTTCACCACTAGGGGGCGTAACGCTCCAAGGTTTACACCGGGTTTTCATGCCCCAGTTTTAAACCCAAACAACTCTATATATTACACGTTTTAAAGGTCTGTGTAGGCCCACATAATCCGTGCTCACAGCAAAATTTAAAACCCAATTTTCAAACCTTCATAGAACAAATAGGTCAGTTGTTTTCAGTCTTGTCTTGTGGAATTTGCTGCATTAGTGTTTTTAGAAGGTATGGTAAAACCAGGATACAGAAATGTGTTTGCTGTTGAGAGAACCAGAATCATGTAGTCTTCCACTTGTGTGTTTAAAAAGAGGTGAAGGTTCACGATGTTGTTCTGAATTGTTTTGAGCAGGCTAAATGACGACTCATCATCTTTTTAATCATGTTTCTTCCTGAAGGTGGTCAGAAGGAAGCTTTGGTCTCATAAGGAACCATTTTGATATTGATATTCTGAGGAAGCAGGTAATCAATGCTCGCTGACTAAGGTAAAAGCTTGATCCTCTCAGGTCAAGTGCAAGACACTTTGCTACTGTGACGTGACGCAGCATTTTCCTCTCGTCAGAGACATGTCGGGTCAGCAAGGCCTCTTGAATCTTGCTTTTGTTGTAATTTTACATTATTGGTGCAGCATCCTGTTTGTTGTCTCACTGGCTCGGGTGTCATTTTCAGATATTTCATAAAGCCAGATGACCGCACAGACCAAAATAAATATAAAATCCTCTCTGGGTTCCTCTATGACTTTTATATAAGACCCAGTAGAAGATTTGTTGTTTTTATATGCTGGATGAAGTATCTCCCAATTTTTAAAGATGGAGATCATACTATTATAATTAAGTGAATTTTAAATAATTTTACTTGCCGTTTTAAGTGCGTGTTAAATGTTGTCGTGTCCAAGATGCTGTACTAATTTTTAAAATGATAAACTGACAATTAATTAAGAACAAATTTGTAATAATAAGTTTTTACTGTTTCCTCAATATCACTTTCCATAATACTAACACAATTAGTCTTTTGTAAAATAATTTTAACTAGCAAAAGCCATTTCCTTATCCTATGACGTTATCCTACAGCAAGTGTCATCATTTTTGAGAGAAAACTATACAGCACGGTAAGTATTAACAATTTATTGAATGGATTCTTTGGTGTTTTTTTATTTATTTTTTGCATACTTTTAAACATCCTATTTGATGAAATTACAGAAATGTATTTATCCTACTTTTTATATATATATATATATATATATATTTGAAGTCTGAAAAAAACAAAACAAAGACTACTTCAGTCTTTCTTCTTCACAATGTCTCGTTTAATTTATTGTTACTTACTGTGTCTGATCATTTGTTTACTGAAATTTACTTGCAATTTCTGAGTGAAAATTGTTTCTACACCAATCTTTTTTGTTCGGTGTAGATGGACAATATCAAAACTATATGATATTATCAAAAGAACTCGGTTGCAACCCCAAGCTGAACTTGCTCCTGCATAATAGCAATCTCTTATTTGCAGTGTTGTAGTCGAGACCACCTCACTCGAGTCCGAGTCGACACCGAGACGAGAGAGAGTCGAGTCCGAGACCAGAGACGGTCGAGTCCGAGTCGAGACCGAGACCAGTGAGGGTTGATTACCTAATTTACTTTTATTTACTTAGAGAAATCCTTTTTTTTTTTTTTTTTACTGAGTTTACTTAGAGTTTAAAAAATATGATCAGTTCAGGGTAAAAAGGCCACATAGTAGGTGGTGTTAAAAGTAATTTTATTACAATTTGTCATGTGCAGTTGCGCACTAGAAAATCACCAATCACTGGGCGTGTCAATCAATTTAAAGAAATATTTTATTAACATACATTAATAATCATGAAAAATATTTTTAATTGAACTCGAGTGGACTCGGGAATAATTCCGAGTCCTAAAAAAAAAAAATGTTCGAGTACGAGTCAATTCCGAGTCCAAATGGACACGAGTCCATGACAAGACCAAGACCATTAAGATATGGTCTCGAGACCGAGTCAGAGTCTCGAGTACTACAACACTGCTTATTTGGCCTTCAACATAAGATACATATTTCAAAATAGGCCATACCACTATTAGGGAGAAGCTAAAAGATTTAAATAAGCTAATTAAATTAGTTGGAAATGATCCAACTGCATATTTTGGGTAGACCGTCTGAAGATGAAAATATACCTGTAAATGAGGTCATTGGTCAAAAACAGTATGTGTAAACTGTGTATGTGTGTGTATTGTTACAAAATGCGAAGAAATGACCGACACAGAAACGATTCAAACGTGGCCAAGTAACAGTCACATTTACTGTAATGTTTACAGCATCATAGAATTTCATTCAGTTCTTTTAGTTTTGTAAATCTGTCAACCATAAAGTTTACATTGTAATAAACCCCATCCTGTACATCTCAGTAGAGTTTGCCATTTAATAAATTCTGCTTGGTACATCTAGTGCGTAAATTCATCCTCTGTAATACCTGACTGTAAAGTGTACCGTGTAAACTCTACGTTATAGATTCTTGTATATAATAGCTTTGTGTGCTGTAAAGTTTACCGTGTATAATAAAACCTTTTGCCTCTTGAGTAGATCCAAACCAAAAATATTCTCTACCAAAAATAGTCAAATAATGTGGGTTTATAATAATTCCATTTGATTAGATATCTTCTCTTACAAGTTGGATAGCGTGTTTGTGTCCTGAATACTTCGTAAATATCAATGATCTCTAACGGTGCCGACAAACATTCCTATAACAACCAGCGGTACGGTGCCTAAAATCTTAATAGTCAAATATCACAATAATATTCATACTCTTTGCTTTTTAGCGAATAACAGTGAGCGCTCGTTACATACATCTGAATGTTACAAACTTCAGCGAGGGAGAGTAAAAAACGTGAAGCCGGACCTTTTCTGTCTTTCTGTGAGGACAACCTGCAGTCTGGGATCACTGTGAGGACACGCCCCTGCACTGAACCAATCAGAGTGAAGGAAGTGGGGTAAGTATTGAGTTCCGCAGCTATTGCACAAGAAACTTGTTGATTTTGTGTGTGTGTGTTTTTGGTATTACTCGTCCTCAGCGTATATATATATATACGTGAGGCACACGTTTTGAGTTCCATTGATTTCCAGCTCTAACAGAGTCTTTTTGTTTGTCGTTCTGCCCCTGTAGAGGGCGATGGGAGAAGCAGAGTCTCTCAGGAGGCGGTGGAGCTCAGCAGGGTGGCGAGGAGCGGGCAGAGCAGAAGTGCCAGGCTCAGAGAGAGCTCGCTGGCACGGTTGCACTTTTGGCCTCCTTCGCAGCGGGACTGTTGGCACAAAACACCCTTAAAGTCAGGCGGACAGATGCAGCGCTGGTTCTGAACACACGTCCCCCCGTTCTGGCACAAGAGTAACTCGTCGTCACACACGTTCCCTGTGGAGAACATAGAGGAAAAGTTCATGTACAACATTCCTTTTTTTTATATAATTATGTAAATAAACTGTTAACCTTAATATTGGGAAATATTATTACGTTCAAAAATAACTCTTTTAATATAATATGATTTAAAATGTAATTTATTCCTGTGCTCAAAGCTGCATTTTTACCATCATTACCAGTCTTCAGTGTCACATGATCCTTCAGAAATATGATGATTTGCTGCTCAAGGAAAACTGTTCTACACTGAAAAAAATAATATGCTTTATTTAATCAATAAAATTAATTAAATTGTACAAATTAGAATATTAATTTGATTAATTATTACTCAATTCTAATTTGTTCAATTTAATAAATAATATTGCTTGTAATCTGTTGCCACAATTTTATTGATTAGATAAAGCATATTCATTTTTACAGTGTATGATGCACTACCAAATTAAGTTAATAATTTATTAAGATGCATTCAATTAAATCAAAAGTGGCAGTAAAACATTGCAAGAGATATCTGTTTCGAATAAATGCTGTTCTTTTTAACTTTCTATTCATCAAAAGAATCCTGACTTTTTTTTTTTTTAAATCATGGTTTCCACAAAAACATGAAGCAAAGATCATATGACGCTGGAGACTGGAGTAATGATGCTGAAAATCTAGCTTTGATCACAGGAATAAATTATATTTTATTATTTATATAGAAAACAGTTATTTTAAATTGTAATAATGTTTCACAATATTGCAGTTTTTGTTTAATTTTTGATCAAATAAATGCATCCTTTCTGAGCAGAAGAGAGTTAATTAGTCCTTTTTATTGGTAGTCTCTCTCTCTCACACAGACACACAGCCATGATCATTTTCTTGGTGGTTTGTATCTGTGTCATATTTAACATGAGCGTCTGGTGCCAAAACGGGTCGCAGGAGTCTTGGTACTAATGAGACCAGGTGCTACACACCTGACCCCAAACTGTCTCAGCAGTGAACAATGAGTGTGTGTGTGTGTGTGTGTGAGAGAGAGAGAAAGAGCAGAAAATGATAAAGAGGAGCATGATTATTGCTATGTTATGAGTAGCATACTGCTGCCTTATAATGTTTCTGATGTTTCTCATTTGCCTGAAATACCTAGGATGACATATTACTACAATACGACCAGAGCGCACAGTGCGGAGCACCGTTTCCCAGAATGCAACTCCATTAATTCATCACACTGGAAATGAAAGGTTAGTTTGAGGGTAAGTAATATCAGTTGTAGTTTTAATCTCTTGACTCATTTTACACAGAATTAAATTTTTTTAGAATTAAAGGCGGAGGACATGAAAGTAAACATGCATGTGATCAGATCATGTGACAACAATGTAGCACAGAACACAACATTCATTTTCTCCATAGGGGAATTGATTCTGAATTATAACTCATAAACCTTTAACGATAGACAAACTGTGAACAATGAAGTTTGTAATTGATTGTATATGCTTTTGTTAAAGCCATCAGTGAAAAAAAAAAAGCCAAGTGAAAAACTGCATTACCCATAATTCTGCAAAGAAATCTCCATCAATCAGAGAATCGAAACAAACTGCACAAAATAATGTATATATATGATGCGTATCAGTTTTATATTTATCTATCATTTTTAATTTGTGTAATTCACAATGCTTCATGGGATTTTAGTTCTTTCACTCATTAAATCCATTAAAGGAGTTGTTCACATTTCAAAAAACATTTGCTGATAATTTACTCACCCCCATGTCATCCAAGATATGCCATGTATTCTTTCTTCAGTTGAAAAGAAATTAAGGTTTTTGATGAAAACATTCCAGGATTTTTCTCCATATAATGCACTTTACTGGGAACCAAACGGTTCAAGGTCCAAAAGATACTTTCATTGCAAACTGCAAACTGTTCAAAGGGCTTTAAACGATTCCAGACGATGAATAAGGGTCTTATCAAGTGAAACGACCGCTCATAAAAAAAACAACAAAAAAATGTTTAAGTTTTAAAAGCTCAAATGCTCTGTTCTGTGATGTGCGTCCGTGACTCTCCTGTTCAAACTCGTTCATCAAAATGAACAAATCTTTTAAACAAGTCAATTTGTTCATTTTGTTCGTTGAATGAAACAAATGACACGAAAAAAGATTCATTCATTTTGATAAACGAGTTCGAACAGGAGAGTCATGAACGTGCGTCACAGAACAGAGCAAGGCGAGCATTTGAGCTTATAGAACTTAAACGTTTTTTTTTTTTTTTTTTTTTTTTAATTGAGCGGTCGTTTCGCTTGATAAGACTCTTATTCATCATCTGGAATCGTTTAAAGCCCTTTGAACAGTTTGCACTGAAACTGTCTTTTGAACCGTTTGGTTCCCAATGAAGTCCATTATATGGAGAAAAATCCTGGAATGTTTTCATCAAAAAACTTAATTTCTTTTCGACTGAATAAAGAATGACATGGATATCTTGGATGACATGGGGGTGAGTAAATTATCAGCAAAAGTTTTTTTAAAAGTGAACTACTCCTTTAAATCTTGTACCTTTGTCTTTTTGTCTAATTTTTAAATCCTTTTTTGCTTCAAATCAAAGTGTGTAATGATGGGATTCACCTCACAGCTGGTTGGTTTTGTTGATGGCTTATAACTCCCAAATGAAGACTTAAGAAAAAAATCCTATGGGAAAAGTACTTCTGGAAAAACGGCAGCTGAAAAAGTGGCCACTAATGCAGTCAAAGTCATTACATGATGCATTCGTTTTCACATACTATTATTTGAAGAAATAGTAGGGTGTGTGTAGTGTATACGGCACATAATTAACACTGAACATATCATATACAAAACTGTAATTGAAGGGTTAAAATATACAGTATATATATATATATATATATATATATAGAACATAAGTCTTTGTTTTGTTACAAAGTTTTTACAGCGCATGTTATTTTATGAAAGTAATACAAAAAGCTCCAAAAGACTTGTCCAAACCATGTGAAAACTGTAAAAATATTTAAATATTATTAACCAAATAGGTTATCCAGTGCATTTACTAGTATCAGTAAATACTGGCTGCATGCAGATTCAGTTATCCCTAAAACAAAACAAACCTATTTGAGTAAAATGACTAATCCAGCTCCGGAAGTGTGTCCCTAATGGATTCTCCCCTGTTCTGTCTCCTCACAGAGCTAGCGGTTTCATCTTAAAGATGGATCACAGGGAAAGCGCTGTGCGCAGGGGTTCTAACATCACCATGGGAATCCAGGTACAAATGTGATCATTACCCCAAAAAACAGTTTCCAATAAACAAGGGCTTCTTAGAACGAGCAGATAGCGGGAATAAAAGCCAAACCCATTATACACCAGTATAATCTATAGAGAGCCTAAGTCCCTCCCCTTCCGGTGGACCACCATGGGACCTTATTTCGGAAAATATTTCATGGTAGTCAATGGCGAGAGACAACAAATACTTTGATCTCATTTGGATTGTGCCCTGAATTACACAAATGATGTTTTTTTCAATTTAAAAGATACATTTGAAAGTCGACAAAGTCGCAGTTTTGAACTGTTGTGGTATAAAACTGTGAAAATATCTAATTACAAACACTACAAACCCAAAAGGCGCACGTGACGTTCAAACCTTTTCTCTCAATGAATCAAGCTAACTTTGTCATTGTTTCTATAGTCTTACGTTATAATCATAGCGTTACGCCGTCATGCCTGAGTGTTTTGTACCAGACTGCACACATACGAGCAACGGATCTTGCTCGTTGCTTCGCTTCCCGGGAAATGTAGTTCATATAGTTTTATGTGAAAATCGCTCAATGTTACTCTTCACTCAGTGTTTCTTGACTTTCATAATTATCTTTTAAATTGACAAACATCATATAATTCAGGGCACAGTTCAGACGGAATAAAAAAAATAAGTTGTCTCTCGCCATTGACAACCATACATATTTTTTACTTGGGGACTTAGGCTCTCTATTGTGATAATAGGTCGGCCTCCTGTCAAATCGGATCAATCCCGCCCTCTTCATTATGAGACCACACCCCTTTTTGTGCGACACAACTTCACACCAATTCCAATGTTTGAATCATAAGCCTTACAATTTTAACATTTAAATCAATTAATCTATTAGCTATAAGTAACTTTGCAACTACATGTCAACTAGCAGAGTATTAAGAGTGCTTAAAGGAGTAGTTCACTTTAAAAAAAACTTTTGCTGATAATTTACTCACCCCCATGTCATCTTAGATGTCCATGTCTTTCCTTCTTCAGTCGAAAAGAAATGAAGGTTTTAGATAAACAAAGTTTAAGTTGTTCAAACTTGTTCATCAAAATGAACTTATCTTTTTTCGTGTTATTTGGTTCATTCAACGAACGAAATGAACGAATTGACTCGGAAAAAGATTTTTTAATTTTGATAAACGAGTTCGAACAGGAGAGTCACAAACGTGCGTCACAGAACAGAGCAAGGCGAGCATTTGTGCTTATAAAACTTAAACTTTGTTTTTTTTTTTACATATATGAATGATCGTTTCACTTAATAAGACCCTTATTCATCGCCTGGAATCGTTTAAAGCCCTTTAAACAGTCTGCAGTTTGCCCTGAAACTGTCTTTTGGACCTTGAACCGTTTGGTTACCAGTAAAGTGCATTATACGGAGTAAATCCTGGAATGTTTTCATCAAAAACCTTAATTTCTTTTCGACTGAAGAAAGAAAGACATGGACATCTTGGATGACATGGGGGTGAGTAAATTATCAGCAAAAGTTTTTCTAAAAAGTGAACTACTCCTTTAATATCTGCTAACACTTTATTTTGATGCTCCTCCAACAGACATTGTACTGACTATAGGTAACTTTGCAACTACATCCCGACCCTAACCTAACAGTGTAGTAATACTCTAATGAGAGTTAGTAGAATGTCTAAAGTGGTCTATCGAAATAAAATAAAAACCAAATGTTTTTGCAGCAATGCCATGAAAGAACCATTATTTGTTCCCCAAAGAACCTTCAGTGAACTGTTCTTAAAATAACCTTTTATTTTATCACTGTGAAAAACATTTTAATAATCTAAACAACCTTTTTTCCCACTGTAAAGGACCTTGTGCAATGGAACGATTCCACACTCTATAATATAAAGGTTCTTTATTGGCATCTGTGGTTCCACAAAGAATAAGTGGTAAAATGTGCAAAAAAAATCACTCCATGCAATACCAGGACATCTTTACACTGCAAAGATTGCACAGAAGCCGCATCTCAAGCAGCAAATACACTGTAAAAAAAGATATTAGTTTAACTTAAAAAACGTAAGTAACCTGGTTGCCTTCATTTTAAGTTAATTGAAATTAAACCAATCTCCATTGTATAACTCAAACAGAAACTCAAAATATTTTGTTATCTGAACCACATAAATTATCCAAGTTGATGTGACAAAAGAAAAAATGTTGTGATGACAAGTATTCTAGTGGTTCGACTGGTTAACCCCTGATGGTAGTTGGCGTAACTACACCATTAAAGCATCTTTCTCATTTCTCGGCCATTCGGAAGTTGAATTAACTCTGCTTTAACTCCACAGAAAGACTAATGACTGCAAGCTAGAACTAGTAATTATTTAATCTGTTACTTTTATTTCAGATGGCTTTAGGAAACTAAACTCTTGTGAAGTTCTCTGCCAATTAATATGTGATTTAAACCTGAAATTGGCCGAGGAGAATGGAAAAGCGACGGCACACTTTGGCATTGACTTTTTAATTAGATGGGAGAGTTGAATGAAGTCTGATTGGGAAGGTACTTACGGAAACAGCCCGGTTTCCAATAGTAACCGGGGAGACATTCATCACATTTGACTCCGGTTGAGCCCTCTTTACACTGACAGAAGCCGGTCCCATTACAGCGGTCGTGCACTGAGCCCATCGCATTACAGTTGCACTCTGAAAAGAACTAGAGAGAGTTAGTCACAGGAAAAGGGATGAACAACTTGTACAGCTTATTTCTGAGTGTCAAAATGGCTTGATGGTTTTAGTCGATTGGCTGGTTTAATTCAATTCACCACACTAGTTTGTTTTCTCTGAAGAAATGTTTGCTAATATTAGTGCTTTCTAATCTGTGTTTTTATCTTCTATAGTTGCTTTTTGTATTTAGAAAATAAGCTAAAAAATAATCGTGCTATTTTTTTATTTTTTTTTTGCAATAATATGTCGGTAAGTTGTTGGTTGAATGCACATTTGGCACCATAACGTCATAATTACCAGTAGAACATTTCGTATAACTATAAATACCAATTTGCTTCTGAGTTTTCCATTTTAATTGTTAATGTTGATGTAATGTTTAACGAAGAACAGTGACAAAATGTACCTGAAAATATCCCAAATAACTCCAGAAAACCCAGAAACAAGTTTAGCATTCAACCTAAAGACTATGAGTTTTTGATTAAATGCCTGAAATAAGGTCAAGCTCAAGATATTGTCACATGTCATTCTACAACATAAAATATCAGTAATGTGTGTGTGTGTGTGTTTTCTCAAAGCTTTTACTTGTCTTGGAAAAGGCTGTTGTTATCAAGTGTCTAAATGGGACTACAGAGGTTTTCGGGACACTAAACATCATCAGCCGAACAGGTAAACTCATCTACTCGCTAGTTTGCTTTCACAGCTTTGCTAACTTAAAATTACAAAATATTTTCTAAATAAAGACTGAAAGAGTTGTTGAAGCCTGAAGCCATGTGACCGTGGTGTAGTTCATTTATAGCATTAGTTTAGCTTTATACTTCTGCCGATTGTATTAAAGAGTTGGTTCACCCAAAAATGAAAATGCTGTCATTAATTCCTCTCCCAAACCCGAAAGACTTTCGTTCATTTTCGGACACAAATGAGGATATTTTTTGATTAAATCTGAGAGCTGGATCACTCCTCCAGGCTTCTATTGTAATCGAAACCTGCCGGCACAGAAAGTTATTAAAAACATTGTTAAAATAGTTTACTTTGAAATTAATTTGTGATATATTTTAGCTTAATTCACGGGCATCCAAGATGTAGGTGTCTTTGTTTTCAAACTATTTTCAATTTTGTTATTTTTAGGTCAACAATAGGTCTTAATACTGTTAAAATACTCAATGTGTACTTACATTTACGAGTTATTAAATCATGTTTAATTTGGACTTCTCTGTGCATGCTCTTTGAGGTGGTGACCATAGACCTGCATTATATGACTGACCGACAAGAACGGTTTGACCTAAAAATATCAAAATTGAAAATACTGCGGAAACACAGACACCTACATCTTGGATGCCCTTGAGGTAAGATAAAACATACCAAAAATGTATTTCAAAGTGAACCATCCCTTTAAGTTCACCAAGCGACGAGAATACATTTTGAGTGAAAAAAATCTAACAAAAATAACAACTTTATTCAACTATTCTTTTTCTTCGGGCCTCTGACAGGAGTTCACAAGAGCGCATGCGTGAGAACTAAGAAGATGAAAAGTATGAAAGTTCACTAAAATGAAAGTATTCTCGTCGCTTGATAAGCTTAAGGTTGAGCCACTGTAGTCACTTGGACTATTTTAACAATGTCTTTAATAACTTTTCTGGACCGGCAGATGCAATTACCTAGCAGCCTAGGCGGTTCACAGACATTAGTGAGGCGGCCATGGAAGTTATTCTCTGCAAAATACATAAGCCAATGGAAAAGTCCCACTGGGTTTTTTTCAAGGGAATCAGGGTGATGCTAATTTTCGGGTTGGCCTACAAAAATCACTGCAGCACTCTAGTGCATTGCTAATATATTAGTATATTATTCTTTTATAAATATTGTTAAACACACAATTTTTGGTAACACTTTACAATAAGGTTCCATTAGTTAATGTTTGTTAGTGCATAAACTATCATTACATTTGTGACTGTATTTATTGATAATTATTAACGTTAGGAAATTAAAATACGACTGTTCATTGTAGTTCATGTTAGATGTAATTTTTGATTAATAAAATACATTGAGTAATTGTTAAAGATTAATAAAAGCTTTAGAAGTAGCCTGTGTTTCATTGTTAATGAATGCAGTTTACACAATTTCACTGTTACAGTCAGCTATAAATTATGTTTTTAATATTTTTAGAATCTATCGTCTGATATTTTAATACACAATAGTATATTGCATCGGCTCACAGCCAACCGCGTTCGAGCAAATTACTGCACTTGTGTGAGAACTCCTGAAAATAGACAGAATAGACTGTTGCTGGTGCTCTTTTGAGCTCAGGATGAGGTAAATGTGCTCCTCGTGGAGATCCTGGAGTTGACCCTGTGCCATGTTGGCACCTGGCACACGCCCGATGAGGGCGAGCGGATTTGTGCTGACATCCCAGCACGCGTTCATTTACCCCGCGCCCTGCCTCCTCGTGTGGCAGATGGACTCTCTTCTCCGTCCTGGTACTCTCAGCATTCGCTTGGAAGCAGAGCTGCTGATTTAAGAGCTGTGACATCCGGGTTTATTTCTGGAAGTTTATTTGAGGGCCGCTGGGAATCTCTAATATGACGCTCCCAGGAAGATAATGTTGCAGTTTAACTTTCTTGACTGTGGCGCCCAGTGCATTTTCTCATTCTTCCCTCATTCAGAGGTCCTTGTATTACTTTCTCTTGATTACATCCCTAGTATTTTTCTCCAATATGTCTTTTTTGTTTCAATTAGAGCCATTTGCTGGCTCTGTTTGCTAGAAGATTTTTTTTTTTGATCCAGATTTCTTGCTGTTGGATTTCTCTGAGTGAAGTCCACACTGGGTCTCTTTAAATATTTACTCTTTACTCCCTCTTTACTTACTTAGATGCGTTTTGGTCGATCGGATCACAGGTAGTCGAGGGAGACGCATTACCATTTACACCTGGTGTATTAATACGTCTCTTTTTTCCACTTTTTAACAACTCTTCCTCTATGGGAGGGTAAATGTATGGCCTTTTTTTTTAGATATTTCGATGTAATGGATGAAATAAGCTCACGGAAATTAACATGAATGTGCCTGGAGACGACGGAAAAACATACGGAGAGCATCAGCTTTGGTTTCTGCTCTGACAGACCCAAGGCCGGGTCGATCGCAGAGAGTGCGTGTTAGAAATCAGGAAAGGCACATTTTTCGTCTTCAAACCAAACTTGGCTCAATCCAAATGCGTCTTCGACTACCTCTGGAAATGGTTAAGTCAATAAGCTCAAAAATTTTAGACCCTGTTTACACCTGTATTTAGTGTTGTCTGCTTCTAATCCAATCAACCAAAATGCATCATATCTTATTACCAGGTGTAAACAGGGAGTTGGAGATTTTTTTTTTTTTTTGCTAGGTAGAAAAGGGGCCTGTGGAGCTATAATAATGAGGAATTCAGACCCAAGCATTGCAGTTATGTTTTATATAGACCACAAATGTATGATTTATAAGTAAAAATGAATGATTTAAAGGAATAATATGTACCCTTTAAGTTGGAGAGAGATGTGATTGCGTTATTTGACCGGCTTACGGGTAACCAATAATTTTATACTTCAGACAATGCACACTGTTACTCACCGACACACACGTTCTCGTCATCGGGCTCAGCAGAGTTGTTTTTGAAGAAGCCCATGCGACAGTGCTCGCAGTTCTGACCACGGGTGTTGTGTTTGCAGCTCACACACGTGACTATGTTCAGGAAGTCGATGTAACTGCAGCGATTCGAGTGTCCGTTACATTCACAATCTGAGAGGGAGAGAGCAAAAGGCAAAGTCAGCAACTCTAGATTAAAGTAAAGAAGGGTTAAAAGAGAGAAGAGTAAAGAAATGTGCAAGTCCAAGGTCTGGATATCTAAATGTGGGTATGTGTGACATCTTAAGCGTGATGATTTAAAAATGATTAGAGTTAGAGTACATCTACAAACTACATCAATCTCGACGCCGAATCGATAAAAGCTATCGACTCTTTTTTTGCGTCACTTTGTGTCTTTCCTGCTGCACCCACCCACAGCACTGACAGCTGAAATGAAGATTTGTGTGCATGTGTGTGTGTGTGTGTGTGTTGCTGACAGGGCGATATCTCACATACTCTTACAGGAGTCTTGCCCACTCCGCATGCACGTGAGTGTGTGTGTGTGTGCTCTAGGGATGTTGGGAAATCTGATGACAGATGTTTTCCCTAAAACAGCTGTTTCCTCGTCTTCTGAAGCAGATCTTTTTTGTCAGACTGCTTGGCTTCTCCCAGTTCCCATTCACACCTGTCCTGTATCCTACTCTCATGTCCGTGTCGTTCTGTCACTCATAGAGAATCAGCGTGCAGTGTGTTAATGAACTACGTTCAGTGTAGCCCCTTTTTGAGAACCTGAATCAGTGCTTTTCACTTGATTTGCATCAGAGTGCCCTTTCAGCAAGCCACTCATTGCACTTTGACCTCCATGTGACGGGTACAAGGTTTTAGGTTGTAAAACCTAATGAATTTTATCGGATTTCCGGGGGCGTCAGTGTCTCGTTTATTTTCGGTCCGCCGGGAAACAAAGCGCAGATGTGTGATTGCGTTAGAAAAACTGTTGTTTATATGAGTGACAATCATAGACAGTAAAAGGTGACAATGAACATTTATCAAGATCAGCTTGGCTAAATGTAGTTGTATGTCCCCTCCTATCTATTATGGAAGATCAAGTGAAGTACCTAACTGCGAAGGGGATATCAGCCGCGTTTGTGGGCAAACATGAAACAACAGGTCTACGCTGACATCGCAGCTGGCCGATTCAGTATTCATAGGGCGCACTGGATTATAAGGCGCATAATATACTGCAGAGTCAAACGTTTGACTGGGTTTGCGTTATGCATCCACTAGATGTGCTAAAGGGAATAGCGAGTACGCGGCGCCAGGGGTGAGGCGTTTATTTAGTAGGCGTGAGCGGGGACGTAACTTGCATTCGCAGCCTGACTCGTGTGGGTATTCAATGTGCGGCGTTGTCAAAGCGGGCATAAGATGGACATGAGCGCGAGTTCGTGGGCGAATTTAATAGCGCGGAGCGTTGTTAACCAATTGATCCATGTATAATATAAGGCGCTCCGGTGACTGCTGCTGACTGCTGACTGACTTGTTGCACGCCGGTCTGTTGTTGTGGGGACATTTCCACGCCCTGAAACGTGACGCTGAACGAAACGAACTGTAATTGGTTGTTTGACATGTCAGTCAAACGGCCTTATGGGCGGGCCTTGGCCAAAAAAAGCTGCTATGAATTCCAGACCTTCAGCCATCAGTCTGAAGGTCTGGCTACGCGAGACTAGGTTTTAGGTAGCTAGCCTAGCATACACTAGCTGGTTTACATTTTTATTCAGCAAGGAAGCATCAAATTGATCATAAGTGACATCATAGTTACAAAAGGTTCTATTTCAAATAAACTATCTTCTTTTAAATATTCTATTCTACCTTCGATGTTGCTGGTTCAGTGTTTCTTCCCTCTGGTTTTTGATTTGATTTAGTATTGCTACGCTTTAAAGAACAGAGGAAATCAGTTATCACAGACAAGGCTACCCAATACATGTTTGAGATGGTTTAACTGAACACAACTTGCACTGATATACCTTCAAATATGTTGATGTCATTGTTTTTTCTCAAAAAGCATCCCAGAAATATTTTTATTTCTCTAAAGCATGTTTAAAAGTACACTTTAGGTCTTAATTGAACTAAGGTTTACGCCTGGCTTAATCTAAACCACGTCTGTGAAAC